ATTAAGTTTATTTGTGAATTTTAATTAACAAACGTCGCGGAAAGTAATTACGAGCGTCGAGCGCCGCATCATCTTCGAGTTGTTATCGCCATAGCCGACGTTTGTTTTGTTTTTTTCTCTCCTCTTTGTCTGTAGCCAAACACACACACGTTCTTTTCAACACATTTTTTTTCTTTCGTATTTTTGTTATTCTTTTCTCGTGAAGTTACCACAAAAAAATAGAGTAGTCACTCGGAAACACTTTCTCGTGGCGGTGAAAGTTGCAAGACCACCCCTCTTTTGTTGTATGTACTAAAGAGTATTATATTTTAATTTTCAAAGCCCTCGCTGCCATCAATGCACGGGAATCATTTAAGAGACAGAAAGAAGACAGCACGAAGTGAGAAAAGAGAGAAAGAGCTTAAAGTAGTAATCATAGACCTATAAACTAACACTGTATTTCCCCCACGTTATCTTTTCTCTTTCACTCTATATCGTACCCCTGACCTCTCTCTCTCTAAGCGCTGTCCATTATAGTCAATAGGGCTCCAAAAAAGTAATTACCTTGTAAAAAATACTTAAGTTTTGTCTTGGGTCCCTGTTGACCAAAAAAAAATGCTCCATCCCTCCGAGGCACGCAACCGTCCGCGATCTTTGGTTTTAGGTAAATTTTTTCACTTTATTATGGTTTTACTTTTAATTCCTAAAATTATTAACTTTACGATAAAAATTGAATATCGTAAAATTTTTGACAAGAATGGGGTTATATACATTTTTAGCGTAAGAGTAATAGATAAGTGACAAAGTCTATCCGCCCTTCATAGAATGGGGCGCCTTTATTAATGACGTATATACATTAGAGCAGCGGTTCCCAAACTTTTTTTTCCGCGGTGCCCTTTTAGAGGCACCAAGTTAGCCACGGTGCCCTGCTGTATATAACATGAAAGATAGAACAAAAAAAGTACTCATTGAAAACCAATTTTATTAATTTTATTAAACCTAATACAATCTAAGCATTCTAAGCTACACAACTACATTAATTATAAATTAATGCATTTTTAAAAAGATAAATAAATAAAAATTATTGTTATTATGATTATAATTATTACATAAAAATATTACCAATGAAAAATATTTACAATTTAATTTTAATTAATGTGATGTATGTGCCTGCTTATTTTGGCACAGTTGTGCAATGTCAGGTTTTATTTTTGATAATTGGAGTCGGAGGTCAGGTTCAACATTGAGGCGGTTGCGGTATTTGGTTTTAGTTGCAGCGTATGACGAAAATCCTGACTCGCATAAGTAAGTAATGGCAAAGGGTAAAAATAGTGTTTTCGCTTTCTCGCTTAAACCTTCATAATTTTTGTCTTTCAAACTTAACCAAAATTCGGCATACGAATTGCTGTTGAAGGAAGATTTTAATGTTAAGTCAGAAGTTAAATCGATCAACCTTTCGTAATCACTTGAAGATAAGCTTGAAGGTTTCATACAAACTGAGAATGGATTCAGTACCCATTCATGGTCTTTCAACAATACTTCCCGATCTGCAGGAAAATATTGCTCAAAAGAATTTTTTAGCTGTTTGAGGTGCTCAATAATCTCGTTGACAATATTAGTAGAAGCCTGCTCATCATTTTCTTCCAAAAAGGCTTGCATTATTGGAAAACATTCAAAATTTCTAATGATTAGAGTAACCTGGGGTATAATGGGGGCAAAACGAATTATTATGTATAAGTAATTTAATAATTGATATCTGGTCAAACATTTTTGTTATTATGATTATGTTATCATTGCCAAACGTGATATAAATTTTTTTTCAGCAGTTGATGAAGTTTTAGCGGAAATATGAGGTAAAATATTAATTGTATTCGTCTGATGTAATATTTGAGTAGTATAGAAGTAGTAACTAGTAATGTGTACTATATAACGACACGTTAGATGTTGCTTTTATATATATTAGTTTAGTACAAGTCGTCGACTAAACGTCAATACTAGTAAAATATTAATATGATAACAACTGAATATACTACAATACTGTTTATGCAGAAAATAATATTGGGGTAAAATGGCTTAGTGGGTTTTGGGGTAAGAGTGCTCAGTATTTCTTATATGATTATTGATTACCTTCTTTTATAAGCATTTAATTTTTCTAGCTTCAAATTGAATTAATTATATCTATTTATTTATTAATTTTTAAACTAATAGGTACATTATAATATCTACGATGTATTAACAAATGATTCAATAATATTATGTTATATTTATTGAATAATTGTACTTAAAAAAATTACTTCAACTTAGTATTTTTTACTAATACTATATTAATTATATATTATATTAGAAACTATTATATTATGACTGCATATTATATATATTTATGACTTATCATTTGATAAAAAAAAAATAGAAAACATTTTTTTAATAAAATAGATTTTTATGAATTAATTTAGCATGCGGCCTATTACCCCATTAGGTGGGCACTTTTACCCCAATAATGGGGTAAAATGACTAATTTGTTATAATTTCTAATTATTTAGAATTTTTGGTATTTGCTTTGGTAAAATCAACTTTTGATCGGAAAATTGAAATTTACGTAATATTTATAATAGGAAAACAATATAACAATATTTATAAAACGTGTATGCTACCACATACCAACTGTTAAATGTTAGGTGTGCCATTATACCCCAGGTTACTCTATACATACGAGTATACGTATAATACACGTAGTTTGCAAACGGATCGAACGTAGAATAGGTATATATATGTCTAGTTTCGTGTTATTATACTGTAAATAGTATTGCAATAGTATTGCTGAAATATTTTATTAATAATAACTTACCTATAGGCTATAACATAACCTTAAAAGATGTGCTTTTGCATTCTAAAACCATTTTAGGTAATGATTGACTTTTGAAAGAAATTCGATTTAGAACAATTTCATTCTAGACCCACGATATACAATTAACAACAAAAAATTGATCCTGAATATAAGTGTCATATTTCATAATATTTAATAATATGATTTGTCTCTAACACGGGTCAATGATACTTAAGTTATGTACGCGTAACATAATATAGTCACACGGTAGCGACGGACATGATAATATATTGAAATACAAGCAACTATGACTGTGCAAGTGCAATAAAGAAATTTGGGCAAATCAAGCATTAAACGATTTTACTATACATAGTGATTAGTGACTATAATATATATTGTATATTTCCAAAATATGATGCTATAGGTAACATATATTATTATAATATAGTATAGAGTATACAGGGTGATTCAAAGCTTATGTTACAATAATAGGTTTAGTAGTAGTATATTATTATTGTAACATACATTTTGAATCACTCCGTAGACCATAATATAGCATATTATTATGCAGTTCAGAAATTTCTTCATACATAATATGCAAATCACTTATCATTAATACTGTAATAGTACGGGCGAGCGCTCACAGGAAAACTGCTGAACTGCAAACTCTCAAATCCGTAATATTTTATCAACAGTTATGAAACTTTGTACACGGCACGATATGTACCGTATTTAAATATCGTGAAAAATATGTTGATTCTCTACCACCGAAGCAATTATAAGTTGTAACGCAGTTTAGTAATTGCACCACACATATAAATCGTGCCTACGAGCGAAATTATAAGGACCCTGTATGTTTTGTTTCATCACAACATTTCTAGGGCACTTACTAAAATAAAGCAGTGCAATACACCAGACAGTAACTTAGAATTTATAAACATCACTGAATTTATGTTTAAAATTAAAAGTTTGTCATGGCCTAAGGTTAGCCATTTTTAGGTTTTTGAAATGTTGAATGAAGCAGTTTTTTGTACAACTTAATAATTTTATAATTTATAATATTTTTATAGCATATTTGAAATGCATTCTTATGACAACTGCTCAAATATATATTGTAAATATGTTTTTAAGGCATTGAATTATCTGCTTACATAATGATGTGTCTAACATAACATAATATGCCTTAAGGTCGATCACCATGTTTCACAACATATCAATAAATGCATATCAGTTGAAGCTGTAGGAACCAAAAGTCAATATTATACATATACCTATTGGCTATTACCTAGTTCCTACATAATATTATCTATATATAACTTATAAAAGACAAAAAAGGTTTGCGACCGACTGACTGTGTCCTTTATGAGCATTCCTAAACCGTTCATCCGATTGCAATTTGGTACAGAGATAGATTAGACCTTGAGGAAGAAGATAGGTTATACATTTTGTCACGAAAAAGGTAAATAAGAGGTCCAACCCGAGGAGTTCTCTAACAGGGATTTTGAGATTATAAATTATTATTATTTATTGTTAATAAATGGATGCTATTGGTTTTAATAACAACAATAATTATTATTAATGCGATAAGCCTGTGTATTTTAGTACCCACAGAATTTATCGAGTTTGAAATACTATACGGTTTCGGTGGACTTTTGATACTTTAGAGTAAAATTATACACTTACGTACGTAACACACGGGGCCCGAGATCTACCACAAGTAGATTGCCTACCTGAGGATATACTGCTTGCATAATCACAATAAAAACCTAGCAATAGCGACGGCGCAATGCATTGCCATGTCAGCTAGTAATATATTATATATTATATTTTACAAATGTAAATTAAACCATATGCGATGTTTTTGTGAAAATTAGTGCACTACTTGTAATAAATAAATTACCTCCTTATAGTAATATATATAAATATGCAATAGAATAAAGAAGGTACATTACACATTTACACCTACCCCCGGTTTTTAACTTTTATAAAACACATTTGTGTGTTTGAACGCAAATCCTAAAGGTAAATATAATATTGAAGGGATAGTCAGCGAGGTTTTTCCGCACACAATCTTTCATTAATAACTATTATAATTTATAACTTATTATAAGTGGAAAATTATTACAGCCAAGCTTGAGACCATAATATACACGTTGCGCTATCTATATAATTATGTTATGTGAATTCTAAAATATTTTATGGTTTTAGACTCAAATTGTTCAATTACAGTTACACTACCACGGTCCACAGACTATTGATGTACCTATCCATGTGGCATGTATCAAATGCATATTATATTGAATCAGTAATCATGTAAGATGTTAATTTTTGTACTATTGGTACCTATTCTATAATCAATAGGTGGGTAATTAAATTTGTACATTTTGCAAAACTAAAACTCAACTACAGTAGGTAAATCATATTATTTATAATATTATATTGATCTGACAATTTTTCCATCGCTTTAATAAATTAAGTATTTGTTATTTGTCTTATTATATTAAGCCAATAAAAGTATAAAATTGGCAATTGCAATGTATTATATTATGTGTCCTTAATAATAAAATAATTATTTTGAAACTAAGCACTGATTTTTACTCAAATTAAAAACTAATAAATTAGTAGGTACACACCTACTTATTATAAATTTAAAATATGATAAATTAACAAAATAAGTATTATTATTTTTAGATTCTGAGTGAAACGATGAATGTATTGATTTTACAATAATGTGTGTTTTTTTTTTTTGTCTGTCATCACGTTTTGGGACAGTAAAAGTGCTTGGATATTCTTCAACAGTAGCTTTTCTGATAGGAAAGTGAATCTAGTTGGTACTTTGGGGGGTCAAAAGTATAAATTTCCCAGTAGTTTTCACAAGCGCCAGGAAAAACAACATAAAAATTAAGGAAAAATGGGAATTTTTACGCAAAATTGGTTTTCCAAAAAATCGATTTTGGTTATTGGTGTAACTCTAAAACAAATAAACGTATATACATGAAATTTTCACTGGTTATTTATATTTACATTTTCTATACACGATAATATTTTCAAAATATTTTGAACTGCTTAGGGACATTTTCATTTTCCATTTTTTTTTAGTTTTTTTTCTAAAAATATCAATAAAATTTTATTTGTTGGTTGCGAAAGCTTGAAAATTTAATAGAAGGCTCCTAATATGTTGTTTCAAAGGCAGATGAAAAATATTAAAAATCCTTAGTCACAATTAGGACACTAGCGCTTTCCACCTTTGCAGTGGCGCAAATATGAAAAATGTTTAGGGGGGGGGGGCTCAAGCCCCAACACATTTTTTAGATTCTGAGTGAAACGATGAATGTATTGATTTTACAATGATGTGTGTTTTTTTTTTTATTTTTTTATTTATTTTTTTTGTGTCTGTGTACACGATAAGTAGTCGAAATAATGCTTCGATTTTCGACTTCAGTATCTTGTTCGATTGGAAAGTGAATATCGTTGGTGCATTGGGGAGGTCAAAATTTAAAATTCCCAGTACTTTTCAAAAGCGCCAAGAAAAACAAAAGAAAAATTAAGGAAAAACGGGAATTTTTACGCAAAATCGATTTTTCAGAAAATTGAATTTGGTTTTTGGTGTAACTTTAAAACAAATGACCGTAAGTACATGCAATTTTCACTGGTTGTTTATATTTGCATCTTCTATACACGATAACATTTTCAAAATATTTTGATTTATTTTGAACAGTTTAGGGAGATTTTCATCTTTCATTTTTTTTTAGTTTTTTTTCTAGAAATATCAATAAAATTTTATTTGTTGGTTGCGAAAGCTTGAAAATTTAATAGAAGGCTCCTAATATATTGT